AGCTGTCGAACAATGCGCGGGTTAGAGAAAATGATACCGAAGATCGTGTTGTTCGGATTTAAAAACTACGAGATGGTCAACAAAAAAAACGAGTGGCAGTGAGTGGAAGGACTCGAAAGGACTCGAAACAGAAACGGCAGGACTTGAGACTTGACTTGACACTTTCCAGTCTTGACTTGGATTCGACTCGGACTTTGCCTATTTTGACTTGAGACTTGACTCGGACTTGAGTGCAAAGACTTGAGACTTGCTTGTGACTTGCAAAGCAATGACTTGGTCCCGCCTCTGCTGTTCACAGACTCCTTGACGACTCCTTGACGCAATTGCTAGTGCCTTACGCTTTGTTTTAACAGAGTCAAATTGCAGGGGGAACAACAGCTTCGGGTCGCTTTGCATAAGTACATGCTACACCTACTGTAATCAGTTGTTCTGACATTTCTGGGTGCACTTTTGTTTGGTGTTTTTTTCTTTCTCGGGATCAGTGGTATCACGTGACGCAGAGGTTTATTCTTTATGCTACAAAATAAGATAATAACAACAGGTCCCAACACGCTGTGTGTGTGTGAGTGAGAGTGTGAGTGTGAGGTAATCTCAGCCCCCGCCTCCCTGCATTCATGAATCCACTCTTGTGTGTCCGTTTTACATTTGCCGCTCTTCGTGCGCATCATTTGAATATCCAATGCGAGTGCCTGCGCTCGTTTTTAATTTACAGCGATCGCCATGTCGTCGAGCGGCAGGAGATATATATCTGCGCAGATGTAATTGGGCTTCTGTTCTCATGGTGAGGTGGACCCGTATCGTGTTCTGGTTACACCGTGTAGTCATGACCTTCAGCAAAAACACACACAAAAAAATAAAAATAAAAATACAAAAATAAGAGACGAGGCCCAGACGTAACAAATCCTTCTGTATTAAACAAGACGTTTTCACGCTGACACAATATATGAATGAAACAAAGGGATAGAATAAATTAATATTTTTAATAAATAAATAAAGAAAATCCAGTTGGCTGAACAAAACGTACAAAAGCATCTTCAGTGAATTAATTGCAGTTGCTGGCTGTCTTGAACCTGTTTGACTTCATTAAGCAGATTCATTGCACGGACAGTGTGTTATTTCACGTGACATTAGCTCACGTTGTTCACTAAAGAGAATAACTACCTCCACCGCTAACAAGCGCCGCCGCGCTTCATCATGCAGTTCTGCTCGCGTGTGGCGTGACGGCACGTGTGCCCTCTCTCCCGTGTGCGCAGTGCCTGACCGTCTGTGTCTGTGTGTTAAACCGGATGCTCAGCCATTTTTTTTGTCTCAGTACAGATTTGGTTTCATTGTGTTGTTGTTACTCTGTGGAGAGCTCTTGAGTAAGTGGCGTTGCCCGAGTCGGTGCTCATATCCGTGATAAATGGGGCCCATTTATTCAGCGCCACAGCCTGGCTGATGACTCAGGGCCGGCGACCTGGTGGCATAAAATATTCTTGTACAGACAGAAATCACAGTGATGACAACACGGGCTTCTTTATATATATATATGAAAAAAAAAAGGGGACACGTGTGAGGCAGGGACACTGATGAGGATCCTCATAATTTCTTCTGTATGCTACAAATTACGGCTGGGCGATTAATCGAAATCTGATTTCAGTTACGATTTTGCCTTCCCACGATCATGAAAAGAAGACAATTGAAATGAAACGATTATTGTCCAAATCGTGTGATGTCACTTTGCCCCCCCCCCCCCCCGAACACAAAGAGCATATAAGCCTCGACAGTGGACGCATGAGAATCCACTGTAGAGGCGTATATGCAACACTGCCATCAGAACCTATTCTTATCATAGAAAATGACATTTCAATAGCTGTCCACTGTAGTGACCGTCATGCATGAAAGGGATATTGTAGCGGAGTGGTAAAATTATTGTTTTCATGAGAAAGCGGTTTATTTCCGTTGAGTCAGTAGACACTGTTGTTGGCCACAGTGTACACTAAAACCTACTGACTGCTCGCCGCAAGAAAACCCGACATAATCCACGCCGGCTCGACAGAACAAAACCAAATGCACATGCGCACTATACCTTGTTGCGTTCAAGGCCCCCAGGAAAAAAGAGAAAACAGCTAGAACACAGAACAGTCATTTCAGGGACAATATAGTGTTATTGTTATGTAACAATAACACACAACCTGGAGCCATCATGGAGGAGAAAAAAAAACACAAACGAAAGAAAATAAATATGGCCCTGTACAATGTGTATGGAGTACAACCTTTGAATGTAAACAAAGTTGTTTTCTGCATATAGCGCCGCATAAGGACATATATTTGTCCGAGCTGCTCATTAGATTCTGTTGGGGTTTTTTTTTATGTTGTACGTTGGAAAGTTGGAGTTACGTCCTTTTTTTTTTTTTTTTTTTTTTTTTTTTTATGAGAGACCAGCTTTTTCTGTACTGCCATTCAAGTACATCTGCGACATCATGAAGTGCTGAAATATCGGATAATCAAACAGGCATCTGTCAAAAGAAGAGTACTCTATTCTATTCCTGTGGGTGAAGTTCTGAACAAGACCCTCGTAGTAGATTTAGAAAAGATCGCAACGTAACCACGAAACGCCTTAGATCAGGCATGGTCCACCAAACTTGTCCAAATTATATATTGTATATTTATATATATTGTATATATATTTTATATATATATTTTATTGTGATTATACTTCTGCCTTCTCGCTGCAATGCTCACGTGGTCCCTATAGATGGCAGAGCCCTATAAATGGCCTGTCTTAGATGGAGGACAACGTAAAGACGGATGCACACAGAGTTACATTCAAGCTTCAGATTTTTTTTATCACTCCTTCTCCTTCACCAATGTAACCCCTGTTTTCTTTGCAGCTATGTTTGCTGTGACACCCAGTCAGAAATGCGAGAGTGGTACGCAAATTTTCTCAGCGTCCAGGTGTGGTTTGTGTTCTCTTATTATTTTCAACTTTGCCATTTTCCTTTATCGTTGTTTCTTGTTTTTTTTTTTTTTGTTTTTTTTATTGACCGTCTGTCCTCTCCCCCCAACAAAGTACAACGGTGACGTCTGGCCTCAGGACGGTCTGCAGCAGACGAGGGTGAGCCGCGTGTTGCCCAACACGCACCACGGTAACGTTTCACTGATACCCCTGCGTGGCAGTGAGAATGAGATGCGGAACAGCGTGGCAGCTTTCAGCCAAGACCCTCTTTCTGTGAGTGAACCGACCAATCAGTGGAACTAATCTGGGACGAGCCTGCGAGCTCTCGTCAGAGCCGTGGGCTTGAAACCAGAGACATTGATGCTGCACAGGTGCTCCAGATCCTCAACCTTAATTAGAATCCAAGAGGTGAACTCATCTGCATTCGATTTTTATTCGTGAGCTTGGGATTTTAGACCCTGAGATGCTAAATGGGGGAAAAACTCACGCATTGTTTTCTCTGTGTAATTCAGTGCCGCAGTCGAAGGTTGCACCCGTGCAGGATCGATAGTCTCTGCTCTGTGATTCATCAATGATTTAATCGTCATGACAGGATCTGGGTTTTGGAACTTTGGCCGACGACCACGAATAGATTTCATGGATCCTCGTGAAATGTACGTCGCAGGTCAAAATCACAAACGAGGATCGCTTGCTTTAAATGTTAAACACCCAACTGGACCGCGTTAGGATCTGAAATGTCATCATCCTCGGCTTGTATTTTCGTTAAAAGAAATTGGAAGCAGTCATCCAGAATAACTCGCTCACTTTGACTTATTGCGAGGCTGCAGTCTGACGTGCACTGTTCTCCTCCTGCTGTTAGTAGTCATCACACACCTCTCATTAGCAGCTAGCTACAGACCGAGGCAGCACATCAGATGTCTGCCTTTTCATCTGTTGCTGTTCATGTCATACTGGGGCGCCCGGGGGGGGTGCGCTGTTGTTTCTTTGAGAAGTACCTGTTTGGAAAAAGGTCTCTCTCTCTCTTTTTTTTTTTACTTATTTCTGAGAATGAATGGGAATCCGAATTCCTGAGACGGTGAGAGATGATGTGTGATCACCCTGGTGATGGGACTGCAACAGCTGCTGGTTGCTGGGTTCTTAGTGTGTGTGTGAGAGAGAGAGAGCGCCTCAGTGTCTGTGTGGTTGATGTCTGACACACTGATGGTTGTTTTGTCATGTCTCATCTTCATTACCCAAATTGTTAATGTGAAACAGTACAAATATGTATTTGTTTTACTTTTGTCCTTAAACACACCAGAACAGGGGTGGGCAAACGTTTTGGTCCCCAATTGGTCCTAAAATTTGACAGGCTATTTTATTCATTATATATATATATATGTATGTGTATGTATATGTATATATATGTATAAATGTGTATATGTATATATGTTTATATGTATATATGTATATGTGTATATGTGTATATATATGTGTATATATGTATATATGTATATGTATATATATGTATAAATGTGTATATGTATATATGTATATGTGTATATGTGTATATATATGTGTATATATGTATATATGTGTATATATGTATATATGTATATATGTATATGTATATATGTATATATGTGTGTATGTATATATGTTTATATGTATATATGTATATGTGTATATGTGTATATATATGTGTATATATGTATATATGTATATGTATATATGTATATGTGTATATATATGTGTATATATGTATATATGTATATATATGTATATATATTATTAATCTATCTGGTCAGGAGCAGATAGATGAATTACTGAACTAAGATAAAAGTCATGCACAAAGGCAAAAATGCTAAAAGGCTTTTAGCCTTCCCTACGCCATCTACAGAGTAAATGTGATAATTCCAGAGAAAAGCCAGAAGTATAATCACAATACAAAACAATTATATAATTTGAACAAGTTTGGCGGGCCGCATGGCAAAACTGAACGGGCCGCATCCAGCCCCCGGGCCTTAGTTTGCCCATGCCTGCACCAGAACATCACTTTGACATTGAAATCTAGTTTGATTTTTTTTTTAAATAACCATTCACTTCTATTTGTAGACTTAGAACATAAAAGGTGTATGATGAATGAAGGCTCCCTCAGTTAGGGGCCGTCCTCCAGTTTTCACATATCACTTCTGCCACAAGTTTCAAATGTCTGCACATGTTTGAACAACAGCATTATCGTCACTGCTCTATTTTTTTTGTTTTATATCTTTCAGCTTTTTAGGGATGTTCCATAATCTTTGCTTGAGAACAGGTAAGGATCCATTTAAGTCACCCAGTCTCGACTTTTGGTTTTTGATACGTGCACTTCACCCACTGGTCACAAATTTGTTTCACGCTCCTTGTATTGTGAGACAGTTTGTTTTTGGTCATGAGCAGAAATCCCACGGAGGCAGATTATTTTATTCCTAATAATCTCAAATACAATTACAAATGCTGCGCAACATGAACCCTTGTCTATATGAGACGCAGGTTATCAAGTCATTTGTATGGGTATTGTATGAATTTGTCCTTTCAGATTGACACCAAATAATGTTTAAGGGGTTTTTTTTCTTCGGCTGTTAAAGATAATGAATTAACAAATCTTGAGCTAAAATGACTTGATATTCAATTATTGAATTACCCTAGAGTCCAAATGGACAGATGTTGTGTTGGTTTATCCGTCAGTCTGTGTGTCAGTTATTCATCTGGTCTCTCAAACCCCGCTTATTAAGTCATCATGTCAGTGACCTAATGTCTGGTTGCCATGGCTCCAAGACATTCACAGCCTGGATGAAAGATTTAAGCCTAATTTCTCAAGGGAGTTGGTTATGAAACACATTTTTTAATAATGAATTAAAGCTAATGACCGGTTTCGGCCTGTAGAAATCATTTTTGTTTTCAATGAGAAAAAGATTAAACCCACATTTTACCCTGTCCTTTTTTTTTTTGGAAGGGCAGATGGTCAGACTCATCAGGTGATCTCCAAGCACGGCAGTTACATCACTGCTGGAACGAACGCAGCAGAGAAACGGATTCTCCCGCTGCACCAGAGCTGCTGCCTGAGAATAAAACTGATCACCGGTTTTTCCTTGTACACAACAGTGATGTACGGTATTAGCGTGTCGACACAGGCCGATGGACAATTACCAGTCTGAACATTTCCTTAACATCAGTTCCAGCCCGTAGTGGATCAGTGTGGTCAGTCAAATGTCCTACTTTAGTCATGTGATACAGAGGCATGGAAAAGACATACTAGGTTAAAAAAACAAAAAAAACAACCAACCTTAGGCTAATCTATGCACTAGCATTGAATGCTAATGTTTTTTTAATAATACAAATATTAGCGAAAACAATGATATGTTACGCCGTCTAAAGAGACTTTAGTCTGCAGACAGGTTTGTGAATACACTTAGTGTAAATATACTGCAGGTTACATGTGTAAATATGAGTCACTAGGGGTTTACTTTAGAGAGTACAGGAAGGACAGATGTTTGCTGAAGCAATACAAAATGTTGTATATTTTTAAATATTAACGCAAAAAAAAAAAAAAAAAAAAAGGTCAACGGTCAGGTCAGAACCTGCTACAATAGGGAGAGATAAATGAGTAGAAGTGTTGCCGTTGTTCTTGATCTTTATTTAAATAAATCCTGTTTGCCCGTCTGGCTGTAGGTCACATTTCAAACCCTTTTTTACTTATTCATCATGTTTCTGGCCTGATCTGTTTGTCCTCTCTCTATATTTCCCTCACTCTCTCTCGCGCTCTCGCTCGCTCTCCTCCCTTCCTCCTACTCTCCCTATCGTCAGCGCTGCCTCCAGTGTAGATGGCAGCATTTTGCAGTTTCATCACTGAGCAGCAGTGTATCTGAAGAATTAGATCTTTTTTTTTTTAGGTTTTTTGATTGAATAATACATTTATTTTAGGTTAATTTGTTTTGGGGTTGTTTTTTTTTGCATCTCCATTATCGGGACGTAGTCTTCAGGCACACTAGACAAACTTTAAAGCTGTGGCCTCTTCCTCTGTGCAGCGTGTTGTGTTACTGGGTCCAAACGTGCTCCATTATCGGGACAAAGTCTTCTGGCCTCTTCCTCTGTGCCGCGTGTTGTGTTACTGGGTCCAAACGTGTTTTAGGGGAAGTCAAAAAGTTCCGAGGCAAGTTTATGAAAACAAATCTATTTTTCTCCACTTCTGCAAATGGTATTTACATAAAAGAAAATGACATGTTGAGATGTCTTAGTATAAAACCACTTCCTTTTGAAACTTTTTTTGTTTTCCAGTTCTGGGAAGAGAACAAAAACAGACTGAGGTCGATCGAAACCTATTTTCTTAAATAATAATAATGTTTTCCATTTAATTTTTGGTCAAATAAAATGTTTGCTCTGATTTCACAATTTTAAAAAGTTTTTCAAAGGTTAAAAACACGCAGAAAAAAAAATAAAACATTAGTTTTATAATAAATGATGAAATGTCAAAGTTGTTGGAAATGTGTTTTAGTTATTAAAATATAAAACCTTAAAAAAAAAAAAATGCATCTGTCTTAGAACTTTTTCACTTTTTCACATTCACATCTTTTTCTCTCTCTTTTTTTTTTTAAAACATGTGCTTTGACCAGTGAGATATGTTAAGGTTTTAAACACCTGTGTAAATATAGTAAATACACTTTGCTGTATTTGTTTGACTGTGTTATTAGATGCAGGTCCAACCTGAACAGAGGAAGAGAAGTTCAAATATAACTATAGTGCCTAGAGAAACTATGACACGCACCTTCATTTTATGGTCAATCTAAAAACAAACCTCTGTGGTGATGTTTATCGCCAGGAAAACATAACTAAACTGTTCAAATGAATCATATTTTCACCTGCAGGAGCCTTTAAATGACTGACATCTCGGCATCAATCATTCAACAGCAAAGTGTGTGCAGCCTGTGGTGCTCTGCCGGCTAACATTCATCTCATCCCTATTCCACCTTGTATCACCTCAGTGCCTTCTGGGGTCACATTTTAAATCCTTCATTTTTTTTTTTTTTGTGCTGTGATGAATCACCAAAACCCCAGTGTATAAATGTTGGCTCATGTCAGGCACAGTTGCATTCTAAAAATATATAAACATCCAATTGCCGTATTTTTTGGCCTTTTTTTTTCATCCCTTTGGCTGGGTTTGCGACTTTTGTTATTTTCACTCTTGACTTCCGCCAGAGGGCGCTCTAGGCTTGTGTAACAGCATCTGCTACTCCTTTACCACTGGAAATTTCCATGTTCGTTATTTTCACACTGACAGCCGCTAGAGGGCACTTGGTTTTTTTTTTCTTCTTAATTATGCTTTTTTTTTTTTTTTTGGCTGGTGCGACTTATACTCCGGAGCGACTTATTGTCCGGAAAATACGGTCATTTAAAAAACACATAGATCTCCACTTTGTCCCTAATTTCCTAAACATTTGCACATTGATTTGGCTCACTGTTAACGTCCACGTTTGGCCACTAGGACGTCGGAGACGTCATTAAAATTTTACGATTTTTTTTTTTTCTTCTTCTGCATCCATCTGATTTTGCATCCAATAAACACATAAAGACATCTGGCTAACGCACTTATGTGTTGTGCGTTTTTCAACATGGGAAACATTGGCTTACATTTTCCTTCCCGTGCCATCCAGCGCTGACATCCCCTATGGGACGAAAGACAAAAAAAAGAACAAACACACAGGATGTGCAAAGTCCTTGTGTAATCTGCCCTGCGGGACAACAAACAAATACATGACGCATTCCGCTTGTACTTTTACTGTAAACACAAATAGACAGCGACGTACATTTTCATCAGGCCTGCCAGTGTCAGGGTGATGTCACGTTACAGTAAGGCTGTAAAAGAGATGCCAAAAAGATTTGCTTTAAGGAAAATGTCAACAGTGACTGGGGCTGGGCGGTAACAGTTAGCGCAGGGTGAACCCTGAGGGGGTTTCTGTATATGTGTGTGTGTGTGTGTAAATCATGGTGGTCCACCAGCTTTGCGTTAGTTCTTTTAAGCTGAACTGACACATCAGGGTCATTCTCCGCCCCTGGACACACACACAGGGGGAAAGCCCCGTGAGGGTCTCACACAGGAGAAGAGACCTTCACACACGCACAGGAGACCCACCGGGGAAGAGAGCAAACACAGGAGGAAGCGCTTCCGCACGAACACGCCAAAATGGCCTTTACTGTAGCGCGGCGCTTGCGTGAAGCAGAGGGGGAGAACAGAGATAAGGTCGAGCCTGAGCTTCAGGAGGGAACCAACAGGCACCTGGCAGCAACACCTGCCACCTGAAAATGCAAATTCGAGCACAGTGTGTCCGCGAGTCCTCTAGCTGACACTCAATGGGAGAGTGACAATAGCAGCAGCAGCAACAGCAGCAGCAGCCACCGGTGTCCGTCAGCACCGTCAACCGCCCGCCTAGCGTGTGAGCTCATTGAAAGTCTGAACAGGAAGAAAAGAGAACAACATGGATGAATGAACGACAAACGGGTTCTCTGCACCACAGTGGTCACATACAGTAGCTGCCGCTCCGTTTAGGAGGCGTCGTAGGGCGTTAAATGAAGGTAAACTTTCAACCAAACACAAGAGCACAGACTTTACAGCAACGTACTTTGTAACGGCGAGTGACGATCAGAGATGGTACGATGCATGAGCCAATCAGCGTGAGGAACAGAGCGCTCAATGCTGCGTTCGGTCTCCTCCCGGTAAACAAAGTTTTACCGTTTAAAAGAATGAAAATATTGGAAATTAAAAAAAAAAATTATCTACCGTAAAAGACTGCAATATATTTTATTTCATAGCGGCCTTTCTGTCAATCGACCGTAAAAGACTGCAATATAGCGAAAAGGGGAAAATAAAAAATCTGCGATGTACTAATTAATAATAATACATTTTATTTCATAGCGGCCTTTCTGTCACTCAAGGACACCTTACAGTGAATACAGAGATAACAATACAACATTAAAAACAATACAACATTAAGAACAGGTTGAAATACAGCAGTGGAATTGAATCTATCAGATAGAGAAGGCCATTTTAAACAGATGAGTTTACAGAGGAGAACCGCGATATAGAGAGGGAACATTGTACAGTATTTATAAGTAATTATTTATTATTTATATCCAATATAAAGAAACATTTTTAATTTTAACAAATTCATTCATTTTGTTATACTTTGTGTAGTCCGTGATTAATTGCGATTCATTTCACAGCTACAATGATTATTTAGAGTCAAGTTCATCGTTTTTCCAAGACTATAAGTCGCACTTTTTTTTTCATCCTTTGGCTGGGTTTGCAACTTATACTCAGGTGCGACTTATATATAACTACAGTTAGAGTAAACCTAGAATATGAAAATATTCTTACATTGATCATAGTTTAAAAATATATATAAGTTAATGAAAACAACAGGAAGTTTGAACTATAGCAACTAGGGCACAAGCATATATTTCTTCCCTCATTTAAATTCACATTTTAATTATGATTTTCTGTAATAAATACAAGTGAGTCTGTCATGGGGATTTGGATGCACTGTTGTTGGCACTGTTTTTTTTAATTATATGAATTCACAGAGCTATAAATGTCTTTCCAGCTCCTGCGAAGCTTGAATTAAATTAAGGCTAATCCATCTTGAGATTAATCTGTAAGAAGATTTAAATTGTAAATGAATCCAAAATCAATTGTTGTTTACTTCTTCCCTCCCCTTCCAATAGCTTTAATATAAACAATCTTCTTTTCCCTGGTGGCTGTTTGTTCTATAGCTGAACAAACAAACAGGGACGTCTGAGGATTGAGGATCTGGAGAGAAACGTCTTTCTTACGTCGTTTGTAACGTCAGTGTCATGATCACAGCACTAATTTTATCCACTTACGTTTGCTCTGGAGGATGCTGCTCTGTTTGACTTTCCTCTAAATGTTCTGATTGCGCCGCCGCCGCTACATAAACGAAGCCTGATTTGATCCGACCCTCGGTGAAACCAAACAGCTACACTGATCTGTTCCATGGCAGCGATGATTGGATTGTCGATGTCGCTCGATTGTTTTTCCACTTTATCCACAAAATCATGTCACATGACAAACCTTCTGTCCTGGATTAACCCTCAGTTTGCACATACAGGGGTCAAGGACACACTCGCAAGACATTGGTGTGCCCATCAGAGTACGTCTTCTTTTTGAAAGAATTCTTTTCTGGACTATAAGTCGCCCTCTGCAGGATAAGTGGCACCAGCCAAAAGATGAAAAAAAAAAAGCGACTTACAGGAATAGCAGATACTGGGCCCAGTACTGATTAGGTGAACTTGTTTTTTTTTTATCAGTCTCATCAATCAATAACAAAAATCAGTCTCATTGAAGTTGTCTTAATTCCATCCATCCATCCATCCATCCATTTTCATCCGCTTATCCGTGACCGGGTTGCGGGGGCAGAGTCCACTGGAAGGTCCATAATATTTATCATATAAATATACTTCTGCTTTTCCCCTGCAATACCCATGTTTCCCCAATAGATGGCGTAGAGAATAATAAAAACGTTTTAGCATTTTAGCATTTTATCCT